ACAGTTCTATCGCATTTGATCAATTACAATGGAGAAATCCAAAAGCTTGCTTCCTTGGTGGTTACTATACCTTTTCACCACATTTTTCTCTCTTCTTCTGGTTTCATTATTTTGTAACTTGTGGGTAAGAAAACACTTTTTCTTATTTTCATTACAGGGTGATTTTCTTCTCATTATTTTGAAGAGCCTGATAGAGAAGCAATCAAGTGATAATACATCACGTAAACTAAAAATTATCCTTATGTACGTGTTGTGGCTAATATCTTTCAAGGAAGATTGTAACTAGTAGTGAACATCATATTAATCTATGCTTCTGATGCTGTTCAGGTCCGCTACTGTTGACGCAGATCTATTCTCAGGATATTTTGCTCATTGTCCTGTGATTACTGCTCAAGGACGAACACACCCGGTTACCACTCACTTCCTAGAGGAGATTTATGAGAGAACTAGTTACCTTCTGGCTCCAGATTCTCCCGCCGCGCTAAGATCTGATTCATCCATTAAAGACAAGGTATCTATATTATTTGTAAAGAACATATCTTCTGTTATCCCTCTTTTCACTTTGGCCAGCAACTCCCATGTTTTCCCGGCATCTTTTCACTTTTTTATGGAGCTTTAGCATTTCCTTCTTAGAACTATAAATAGATCGTTGAAGCTGTTACACACTCGAACTTCTTGATTTATAATTCTTCTTTTGATGATTTATTTGATAGTTTTCTACTCGAGGAATGTTTCATTCATATAGATAATTTTTCACTTTTTGCACAACCAAAATATACGTCCAGCACAAAGGTTATGTATGGAATTACATTTTCCTATCTGTAGGGCCTGATACGAAATGGTCTTTGCATTTTTGTGGGGCATGATATGGGCATGCCTTTTAGCTTGTATTTGTTGAACTTTGGATATTGTGCAGTTAATATATTGATTTGTTGTCTGCAGCTTGGTTCGGTAAACGACCGTAGGGGAAAGAAGAATCTTGTACTGGCTGGCTGGGGTGACGACTATTTGCTCTCAGAGGACTGTCTTAACCCGTTTTATGTTTCCAATAATTACAACTCATACAGTGATCAAACACAACAAAATCTGGTATGCTACATTTACTGTTTGAGCTTCTGTTCCCCTTATTCTTCTAGTTTTCCTGAGTCTCAGAATGGGGTGAGTGTCTGCAGAAAAGGTTAAATGAGGATGCTATTGACTACGAGCTTCTTGAAGAGTTAATATGCCACATTGATGACACTTGCGAGGAAGGAGCCATTCTTGTATTTTTGCCGGTAAGCTCATACTGAGGACTTTCGTGTTAGTTGAGAACCAATCATTTTGTCTATCGCATCAGCTTGACATTTGTTTGGTAAATAACAGGGAGTGGCAGAAATTTACGCGCTACTCGATAGGTTAGCTGCTTCGTATCGTTTTCGTGGACCTTGTGCAGATTGGCTTCTTCCTCTACATTCTTCTGTTGCATCTACAGAACAGAAAAAGGTGTTTATGCGCCCCCCTGAAGACATTCGAAAGGTGATTTTCTGTGGCATCTATACAATTTGTTGCACTATTGCTATGCATGGTTTAGTTGCCTTGTTTCCTGTAGGTGAGTCACTTTTGATTCATTTGTTCTAAATGAACAAAAAAGTTAACGGTTTAATCATTAATGAGTTTCATTTTGCATTTTGTCTATTGGAAAACAATCTAGGGTTGTTAAGAGCTATAGGCTGAGTGTGTTGAATATTGATGCACTGTTTATCATATTGGTGCCGAATTCCTTTTAACAAATGCATCTGCTCCTTATTTGCGGAAGATATCTTCTGTATAGGTTGCATGGACTTTTGGAAGGTCGATCTGATTCATCTTTTGCATCATCTGTTATGTTCAGGTTATCATAGCAACAAATATTGCAGAGACCAGTATAACAATTGATGATGTGGTGTACGTGATTGATAGTGGCAAACACAAGGAGAATCGGTATAATCCACATAAGGTAGACCAACATCTTATTTTTGATGTTTGTTTCCTTCTCGAAATTCCACTTTTTCTGAAAATGAATTGTAACATTATGCACATTCTATTCCGACATTCGTTTATAAGACTTATCTTGTGAAACCGCTTATAAAATAAAATTAGTTTTCAATTCTCCACAATGAAACCCAAAGCTCGTTAGATGTATAAGTGCTGTTTGATACATTTTTGTGTATCTCTCCTTGTGCTCACGATCATTTTAGTTTGTCTCTGAGTTGTCATTTTGGTGATCAATTGCTATATCATCTTAGAAATTGTCAAGCATGGTGGAAGATTGGATATCAAAAGCAAATGTTAGACAAAGAGCGGGAAGAGCTGGACGTGTCAAACCTGGAATTTGCTTTTCGTTGTACACACGCCATAGATTCGAGAAGCTAATGCGTCCTTATCAGGTATTTTTCTTTTAGATATTCTCCTAGTCTCTTGTACACTGGGCTTTTGCCCCTAAACTCATCTGTTCCATCCTGATGACAAGGTTCCTGAGATGCTGCGGATGCCCTTAGTAGAATTATGTCTACAAATCAAATTGCTTGGCCTGGGTCACATTAAGCCTTTCCTGTCCAAGGCAAGTGATTCCATCTTTAGAGACAAAAGAAACAACATCATCATCCTTTTGATTCTTCTTTACACTTGCTGTCTTTAGGCTTTGGAACCTCCGAGTGAAGGTGCAATAACCTCTGCAATTTCATTGTTACACGAGGTACCATCTAATGGATAGAAGTCTTTACCTCTCAAGAACACCTAGTTCCTGCAATTAGTCATATTTGTTACATCCAAAAGTTACGAGACCTGTCACTACGACAAATATCTTATGTGTCTGAGGTTGTTCTGCAGTAGGGCTGTTTAATCTTCTTTCTGTCGTAGCCTTAGACTGTAGCCATTGTTTTGAGGAGCACTGATTTTGTTGCACTTAAAACTCCCCCCACTCTTTGTTTTTGGGACCACTAATTATATTCCCAATCGATGGATTATCAATCCAGTAAAAGAGATTTGTGTATACTTTTTTGAGTCTTATGTGCTGAGTCTTCTTTAGGTTGGTGCTGTTGAAGGGGACGAAGAGTTGACACCACTTGGGCATCATTTAGCCAAACTTCCTGTTGATGTGTTGATTGGAAAGGTTTGCTTCAGCAGTAACATTACTATTGCACTAATAATTCTGAGTTTGAGGCCTTTGTCACTGTCTTCACATATATTTTTATTTATTCCTCTCATCTCCGCATCTAGCCTCATCTCATCATATGGCCCCTCGCTTTTTTAAGAAAATTGCTGTCTACGTTTCAAATGTTATGATCGTTTATGTAGATAAAAGAGAATGCATCATGTAGTTCTTTCACCATCACTGACTATATGTTTGAATACTTGCAGATGCTGTTATATGGCGCAATATTTGGTTGCTTATCACCTATTCTCTCCATTGCTGCTTTCTTGAGCTACAAATCACCGTTTGTATATCCCAAAGATGAGGTACATTGCTACATTCTCAGAACTTGGCTGATTTTCACAAGGTTGTTGTCAATTAACTCCCTGTTCGTTTGTTTTTTTCTCAGAAACAAAATGCTGACCGGGCAAAACTTGCTCTTTTGTCTGATAATCTGGATAAATCAATTGATTTAAACAACAGTGACAAACAATCTGATCATCTCCTTATGATGGTTGCATATGACAAATGGGTGAAGATACTGAATGAGGTATGTGATAAAGGAATATCTGAAATTAGATTCACTGATACATGTTTTTTCATAATAACGTGGTCTATATGTTTCTGATGTCTTCAGCGAGGAATGAGTGCTGCACAAAGGTTCTGTGAATCAAAGTTCTTGAGCAGCTCAGTGATGCGGATGATAAGGTACATCAAACTTCGATACTATAACCTGTCTACAAAAGAAAGTATGACATATGAATATATTGTTATTCATAACGAGTAACTAGGCTTATTCTCATTTGTATCCATTTCTGTCATGTGAACATTTCTGTCTTCATCCGTCAAAAACTTATTTGTTGCTTTCTCACAAACATCAGAGACATGAGGGTGCAATTTGGTACATTACTTGCCGACATCGGGCTCATCAATCTTCCTAAAACAGGAGAGGTAACTTATATCTACCACATCTGATACATTTTCTTGCATATGCATAAAGCACACACGTGTCTGATCTTCCATGGAAGATCCATCATGCACCAATACATTGAAATGATAGTTCTCAAGTTAATGTTACAGCTCAATCTTATTTTAGTTTGCAGGGAGAAGGAAGGAGAATCTTGATGTTTGGTTTTGTGATAAAACTCAACCTTTCAATATGTATTCACAACAACCTGAAGTTGTCAAGGTAAAGTAAATACAGAGAAACCTTTCTTTTGGTTGTATATGTCATTATTATCCTATTATGGTTTTGGTACCTGAAAATTCGACTTACGGATATGTACAGGCGATACTATGCGCGGGACTATATCCTAATATCGCAGCGAATGATAAGGGAATCACAGAGACAGCGGTGAACAGTTTGACGAAGCAAGGAAACCAAACAAAGAGTTATTCTGCGTGGTACGATGGCAGAAGAGAAGTCCATATCCATCCATCCTCTATTAACAGCAACTTCAAAGCATTTCAATACCCTTTCCTTGTCTTTCTTGAGAAGGTAAACTTCATTTTTAACAAGTCAAGCGTTTGATATTTACTTCTACTCCTCTGATTTACTTGCCTGTAGATTCTAGTGTTAAAATGTAACCATCTAATCGTGGTTAATTATGTATCTCTTGTAGGTCGAAACACACAAGGTGTATCTGCGTGATACAACGATTGTTTCTCCTTTCTCCATTCTACTTTTTGGCGGCTCAATCAATGTTCATCATCAGGTACTGTTAACCATATAACACTGGTGGAAGTTTATACCGATTTTAGTTGTCAAACAATGAATCGTAAACGAGGCATTGATGATGACACAGAGATCTTGAGTCCTAATGTTGTAGTTCCTAAGACTCTTTGCTCTCTTTTAGGAGTTTTTTATTATCCTATCTTTAGAAAACGATTATGACTATGTGTGTTGGATAACTTAACATATGTGCTCTTTACCTTTTAAAACGTTATCTTTTGATTACAGAGTGGATCAGTGACGATTGATGGGTGGTTAAAGCTAGCAGCGCCAGCTCAGACCGCGGTTTTGTTCAAAGAGCTCCGGTTAACCCTACATTCTATTCTCAGAGATCTTATCCGAAAACCAGAGGTCACATGTTTAAATCCTTTCTTAGATTAGATCTCACTCTGTTGAAGTAAGTAGCTCAGACCTGATCTCTTTTTGTTTTTGGTTACACAGAAATCAGGAATAGTCCACAACGAAGTCGTCAAGTCTATGGTCCATCTTCTTATCGAAGAAGGCAAACCGCAACACAATTGATTAACTAAAAAACTAAGATTTGAAGGTGATACTACTGTGATGTATCTTTTTCCATAGCTAATAATTTCAGACATCAAAAGATATATTGTATGTATATATTTTTCCGGGAAAATGGTTAAAGAAATTTTACGGAAAAAAAAAAATAGTAAGGAATCTTGAGCTCCTCTTCCAAAATGATTTGTTAAGTGAAGTCCACACATCTTGGAATAATATAAAACGAACCCTAAAGGTTATTTAAACCGGGCCTCGAGACAACTATACTACTACTAAATTCTGTAAATGATTTCTCCGAAAAAATGTAAAAGTAATCTAAAACGAAACCCTAAGCTCGTAGTTCTACAATTTTTGGGATTAATCATGTATGTAAATTACATTTGAACTTGTATATATTTTACCCAAAGTTACTACAAGTTTAAATGTTAATCATGTCTGTGTATTTTACAAGCTTCCTATAAAAACTTAGGTATATTTAATTCTTCTGATTATTTACAAAGTGTATGTAGTTGTATATTTCTTTTTGTTAACGAATCTGTTTTAATGGATATAATCATTTGGATTTCCAGGTACTACGTACGTACTTTAACCAAATAAAAAAAAAATATTCCGTCAAGGTTCTTACTTGCTTTTTGTTAAGAAATCAATTAGTGTGGATCTTTAACCATACTTGGAATTATGTATGGAAATGTACATACCTTTAAAGTGGACATGTTTTTAAAGTAGTTAATGAAAACAAACTTCAAAATAAATAGACGTTTAAACCAAATCTAAAGAAACTTACAGAAAAAAAAACTCAAATTGTAATTGATTTTCCTTAAACCTTTATCGTTTAAAGAGTCCAAAAACTTTTGCTTTAACAAATGAAATCTCTTATTTGTCTTTTGACTCTATCGTCTTTGTATTTGACGGCAACGTCTTCACGTCTCTCTCATCATCGCTTAGAACATAAAACGCCGAAAGATTTCAACGAAGATATCGTAAAGACGGTAGTGGTTGGTCAGAATGGTTCATCTGATTTCAAAACCATCCAAGCAGCCATCGACTCCATTCCTTCTGGTAACGATAAATGGATTAAGATTAGTCTTCAAAACGGAATCTACAAGTAAGCTCTTCATCTTTCACTTTCTTCTTTCAGTTACATGTAATTTATGAGATGCTTTATTATAAACAAGTCAAAGAAGAATCAAGCAATTAATTAATTACTTATTTATTCTAGTTGGGTTCACTAATACATGCATATATGTATATTATGTGTGTTGATGCAGTGAAAAGATAATAATTCCTAGCGAGAAACAAAAGATTGTAATGCAGGGAAACGATGCATCAAAAGTGATAGTTCAATATAACGATGCAGGCCAATCCAATGGTAGTGGTCCGGTCATTGTTTACGCTCAATACTTCGTCGCTATCAATATTACATTCAAGGTTAGGCTTCATATATGTAGTTTGGGTTGTAGATTGATTAAAGTACGAATTAATATGTATGATATTCTAACACAGTCAAACTATTATTTTGTTTCCTCTATAACTAGATTTTATTTTGAATGTCTAAAGCCTGTTAATAATGAAAGAGGAAATTGTTTTTTTTTTTTGTTTGATGAATGGTATATACCACATGTTCACGTTTTCATATTATTAAAGTTCTGTGTTATTCCTTTTTATTCAAAAATTATTATGTTTTCATGTTCTCGCACGTTTAAAAAAGGCGATTATTTCACTATATATGATGCACATATAGAAATAATTGGTATTCAATAACCCATATTCAAATATAAAATGTGAAACTGAGATCCTGTTTGTGCAGAATTCTTATGACCCGATAACATCAGTAGGCGTACCATATAAAGAGATAAAGGTAGCACCATCAATTATACTAATGGCGGACAAGGCATGGTTCTATGGCTGCAGCTTCATCAGTGTCCAAGACACACTCGCTGACTTAGTCGGCCGCCACTTATTCCAAAACTGTTACATCGAAGGAGCCATCGATTTCATATGGGGAGGAGGCCAGTCTATATACAAAGTAATCTCATATATCTCTATAAATTTTAACTAAATATAGGGATGTTCATTATGATATATGGAAATGAGTTTATATGTGGATGCATGCAGAAATGTTTGATATACGTTAAGGGAATGAAAACAAATAAAATGAAGGATTACGAAGGAGGAATATTACCAGGATTCATTACAGCTCAAGGGAGGGCAAGTGAGCAAGACACAAGTGGATTTGTGTTCAAATATTGCGTGATTACAGGAGATGGTATGGCATCTTTGGGAAGAGCTTACAGAGGCTACTCTAGAGTTTTGTTTTATAAAACAAGCATGTCCAATATTATTGTTCCTCAAGGATGGGATGCTTGGTTCTATAAAGGCCAAGAGTAAGTATTCTTCTTCTCTTTTACTTCTCTATATATTTATCTGGTTCTCGATCTCATCGGTCTCCTAATACAACTATTGGATTGCAAACAGGGATAAAATTACATTTGCGGAGGTAGGTTGCATAGGAGAAGGAGCAAATAAGCAAGGAAGAGTTGGATGGGAGAAGAGCCTTTCTGCTAAGGATGTTGCTTTTCTTACAAGCACTAGAAAATTCATTGATGGAGATGGTTGGATGGCCACTCTTCCTTCTTCTCTCGTCTCTTTAGATTCACCCTTTCCGATTTATTATTAAGAAGTCCATAATTTTGGTATTACTTTTTTATATTATATTGTGGGAATAGTTAATGTATTTTACTTCTTACGAAAATTTAATTTATTTATTGATCAACTAGAATTTAATCTGACATGGGCATGATATTTTAAAATTGTCATTTTGTGAAATACGAAATAACCTTTTTTCTCTAGTACATATTCATCATCCGGCCCGGAACAAACCAAAATTGGGCCCTGTGCAAAAGTAAAGAACAAAGAAATTTAGTGATGTAATTTGTAACATTTAAATTTTGGATTTTTTATTATAAATTTTTAAAAATTAGGATCTTCAAAATACAATAAAAATTTTCAGAAAATAAGTGAACCTAGTGCAAATGCACTCCTTGCACATGCCATGAGCCGGGCATGTTCATCATTTCCCAGCGGAAAAAGAATTTGCAAGAAGGTTGAGATGGAAGAAGGAAGGCCTATCTTTTAGGTGACTCAGTCTTGGTTCGGAAGATATGCAGAGACAGAGTAGGTTATGGTTTAGGACTCCTAACTTTCCAAGTTTTGGTGGGACATATTTTGATTTAGACTAATATAGTTTGGTAGGTTAAAAATATTTAAACTCATAGTTTTCTTAAATAAATTTTATTTATTAAAATATTTTTTGATATAATAAATAATATTTTTAAAAATTGTAAAATTTGTTATTTACAAAAGTCCATTTTTTTTCTTAACTAGAACAACATTTCCGTTGGACGGAGGAGGCTGACCGTGACCGGTGGTTTTTTATGGGTGGTTTAAGTGAAGGTTTATGGCCAAAGTAGAAACAAATGTAACCAACATAAGTTGTGTATTAAGAAAATCAGAGGACCAAATCTAATAATCACAATTTTATTATTTTAGACGTTCCTTTTGTTTGTAATGCAGATGAGGAAGGGATAGCAAAGTATGGTTGTGATCAACTGCTCGATAGAGCTCATAAAAAAATTCTCTTGTTGATTCGCATTGATTTTCTGACATCTTTTAAATTTTGTGTTGCAATTCAAAAGAGTATAAGAAAATTTGTGTGTTTACAATAATTTTATCAACTTTCTATACGCTTATGTAACTGTCTGATATTTGTGAATAGAAGTTCAAGATTATTTATCTTCTTGGATCGACCTTTTAGCTCCAAACAGATTGATTTGAACTTTGACTACTGTATTTGGTTTTTTACATGAGTCCAAATTTGTATATACATATTTACATGTTTGGGATGGTTGGACTTACATGATTCCAAATATTATCATATTTTCTAAAAGAAACCAAATTAGTTAATATTTTCTTAGACAATTTTAATATTCTGTTACTTGTACAATTAACAACATATATATATATATATATATATATAAGTGTAAAAGTTATATTTTGTGTTGAATAGTGACATATGATTTTAAAAGGTTTTACCAACTTGCAAAAAAAATTATTAATGGGAGTTGTTTTTTTTTTAAGAAAACTCTTGATTATTACTAATTTTTTCTTTCACTTCCTTGTACATTTTCATTAATGCAATTTCCAATGACATATAAATCTTATCTTAAAAAAAAGGCAAGTACAACCAAATAAATTATTTTAGTCAAAATATATTAGTCCTTGCGGCATGGCACATTTAATGCAGAGATATTATATATACATAAGATAACAACTACCATCAAATATATATTTCTAAGCATAAAAACAATAAATAAATAAAGGGAGAACAAATGGACCGTTGTCATAATGGTGTTCTTTTTGGTGGTGATGCCTACCATTCGAGAAGATTCAATTCATAACGCCCCGACCGCCCCTCCCGGTGAGTCACCCACTCCCTCTCACTGGACCCGCAATCATGCACTTACCTCGAAAAGGGATTGAAAAGGGATAAGAGAGATGGTGATGAACAACGATTAACGGCATTTGGATCTGACCCAAAAACTCCAAAATCTCTCCAAAAACTCCTCTTTCTTCTCAGTCTGACCGAAAATTCTCCAAAGAGAAGACGGCACTCTTTACTTGATTTTAGGGCTTTCTCCACTAAACCGACCCAAACCAATTCACTTAAATTGAACCGACAAAATTCCCAATTTTTATTTTTGGTTTATGGATGTTACAACTCTTCCCCACTAAACTGGATTCGTCCTCGAATCCCAACGCAAACGTCACAAAGACCACAAAACCCAACCTCGCAAGGCCGCAACACCGGAGATCCTCACTTGATCCCCGAGACAAACGTCATATCTTATGTCATAAACACGTTCCAAGAAAATTTCACTCCTAACTCATCATCCAAACACACCAAACAACTTGTACTGAGGCCCACTTGCACCCAGACAAGTCCACACCGGTCCGCACTGAGGCCCACTTGCACCCAGACGAACCCGAAAACGTCCATACTGAGGCCCACTTGCACCCAGATGAACTAAACTGCTTATACTGAGGCCTACTTGCACCCATATAAGCTACACTCAACTGAGGCCTACTTGCACCCAGAGAGTCTGCCAGAGAACGAAGTCTCCAAAAACATGATGAGTTATTCAGGATCGCAATCCTTAGAGTAAAAATTCCGGAAAATGTCTATAACCATAAGATTAGACCGTCTCACAACCAAAAACTGGTCAAACATGTGTAACATCCGAATACCTTTTCACAACACAAGGCAAAATGAGGAAAAACTGCATCTCATTAAAACTCCAAAATGTATCGTTACAACGAAAACGAAAATACAATAACACCAAAGCCAAAAATAACAACTGAGGCTACAAAGATGAAATAAGCTCACTCCTCGACCTGCTTGTCGAACCACTTCCTGAACTTCAACTTCATCTTTGCCTCTGGCTCCCAAGTCTCCTCTGTAGAACCACTGCAATCCCACAAAATCCTCAAGTAAGGGAATCCTCTTGTTCCTCAGAACCTTTTCCCTCCTCTCTAAAATCCTCATAGGCACTGCCGGCACGGTCAAATCTGGCTGAAGATCCTCTGGAATCCTAGCCACTAACTCCTCTGTAGGATGAAGACACTTCCTCAGCATCGACACATGAAAAACCTTGTGAAAGGCTTTCATAATCTCAGGCAACTCCAGCCTGTAAGCTAATGGCCCAACTCGCTCCACTACTGGAAACGGACCCATAAATCGCGGACTCAGCTTGTTCTCTGCTATGGATCTGTTAGGACCCCTCAACATAGCCATCTTGAGATAAACTCTATCTCCAACCTGAAACTCAAGCTCTCGTCTGCGTCTATCTGCATAACTCTTCTGCCTATCCTGAGCCTCCTTCATGTTCAGCCTCACAACACGAACCTTCTCTGTCGTCTCCTGAACATAAGTAGCTCCATACATGCTGCGCTCCCCCACTTGGGTCCAGCATAGGGGTGTCCTACATGGCCTCCCATACAAAGCCTCAAATGGAGCCATGCCAATACTCGCCTGAAAGCTGTTGTTGTATGCAAACTCAACTAAGCTTAGGTGATCTGCCCAATGGCCACCCCAATCCAACACACACATCCTCAGCAAATCCTCCAAAGTCTGAATAGTCCTCTCTGACTGACCATCTGTCTGCGGATGATAAGCTGTACTCAGATGCACCTTAGTGCCCATCTCTGCCTGAAACGCCCTCCAAAACTCTGAAGTGAATCTGGGATCACGGTCTGACACAATACTAGCTGGCACTCCATGCAGCCTCACAATCTCTCGCACAAACTTCCTAGCCAAGACAGCAGCTCCATCTGTCTTCTTGATGGCCAAGAAATGTGCAGACTTAGTCAACCGATCCACAATCACCCAGATAGCATCGAAAGTCCTCGAAACAGGTAGTCCAACCACGAAATCCATCGTAATCCTGTCCCACTTCCACTCGGAATGGGTAAACTCTGCAAAAGACCACCCGGAACCTGATGCTCTGCCTTCACCAAGGCACAAGTGTTGCACTTCGCAACCCAGTCTGCTACATCCTCTTCATCCCGACCCAATGATAGTACCTCTTGAGGTCATGGTACATCTTGGTCGCTCCCGGATGAATGGAAAACTTGCTCGCGTGAGCCTCTCCCAAAATCTGATGTCTCAACTCCACATCCTTAGGCACACAAACTCGCCCACGAACCAAGATAGTCCCATTCGCAGAGACCTCATACTCAGAACCAGTCACTCTCGTCGCATCTAGCAAACTCTGATCACTCTGCTGAGCAACTCTGATCCTGCTAAGTAGATCCGCCTGATCCACTGCCTCTAAACCCAAAGGCTCCTGCGAAATGGCACACAAACGCAAGGTACTGATCTCGCCAACTAGAGACTCCACATCTCGCTCAACTGCGGAATCATACCTCCGTCTACTCAACGCGTCCGCCACTAGGTTAGCCTTGCCCGGATGGTAGTTAATGCTCACCTGATAATCCGCCAAGAACTCAACCCAGCGCGTCTGTCTCGCGTTCATCATCGGCTGAGTGAAGATATGCTGCAAACTCTTGTGATCCGTGAAGACCTGTACTGTCTCACCTAGCAAGTAAGACCTCCAAATCTTCAACGATCACTGCTTCCAACTCAAGATCAGTCCCGAGAATAATATCATACAGCTCCACCAGACTGATGACCAAATCTCCTGGCATTGACTTCCCCGCAATCTCGATATCAACAACTCTAGCACGGCCCAAAGTAGACAAGAATCCACCTTCCGCCACCTTGACCATGCATGCGCTCTCGCTAGCGCTACTGCGGATGCCACTCTTCTCGGCACGCTCCAGTGTAATGAAGCAATTCGATGCTCCAGAATCAAACAACACATGGGACTCAAAACCGCCCACTAACAAGGTCCCTACACATTCAATTGCGTTGAAAACCTCCACAAATATTATCACAGACAAAAATGGCTAACAGACAACAACACAACAACAAATTGTATACTAAGAATTTACAAAGTCTGTGTCCAAGATTTACCTGTGATCTGCCCAGTCTGACTAGTTCCGCCAGTTTCCACTGAAGAATAGCCCCGCGGCGCCGATGCAATCTGACCCAACGACTGCGCCGCTGCAATCTGGCTCACTGGCTGAGCTGCTACTGGCTGAACTGAAGCCACTGACATACTCCACAACTTAGGACACATGGGCTTGATAAGCTCACCCTCTTGGGATAACTCGAACCACGAGGAAACTGACTAACTCCAGAAGTCTCCTCTCTGCTCCTCTTCTGGCCCTGCGCAGGTAAACCGCCCATGCCAGAACCAGAACTGAAACTCGAACCACCTCTGCGCTGCTGCTGCTGACTCTGAGGCTGGATAGCATGAGCAACTGCAGACGACACAACTATCGGACAAGTCTCCTCACGCTGATCACCCTCGATCGAAGATGCCAACTCAACTAGGCCCGCACCCTCGTCGTGTACATACCACCTCTGCACTGAGTCCTGACACTCTTCCAAAGCCCCTCAAGGAATCGGTTCATCAACTGATACTCATCCTCCATGCCCATGCCGGCATGCACCAACAGTCTGCTGAACTCAGCGTCATACTCGCGCACTGTACGATCTCCCTGCGAAATCGATGTGACACGCATACGAAGACGATCCCGCGCCTCTCTAGGGAAGTACTTGGCGTTGAATTCCGCAAGGAACTCGTCCTAAGTACAAACTGCCCTCCGAACCACCGTGGACTGCCACCACAAATGAGCTTCACCACTCAGGTAGTGAACCGCTAACTCAACCTAATACTCCTGCAGACATCGAATAGACTGGAAATTTTGCTCCAATTAATCTCTGACGCCAGTCCTCTGCTGCCTCTAGGCTAACTCCGCCCGCAAAGTACGGCGTACCCATCATCTGCATGTGTCCCACCATATCCAAATAGGACGGCACAACCACACCCGCAGCCTGCAGCTGAATAAAATCCGCAGCCCCCTGCTGCACCTGTGCCACTGGAGGTACTCCCGGAGCCCCCTGTGGAACCACTGGCAGAAAATGATCCAATAGCTGCGTCAGCAAACCCACCACCAAGTCATCACGACCCTGAGCAGGAGCAGCACCCACAACTGGAGCCGCCCCATCTCCCACGCTCACACTAGCATCCACATTGGCCTCACTCGCCAAAGAATGGGTCACATACGCAGTCGCCATGCTCGGGGCCACACTCTCTCTCGAATCCGCCTGAAGTCCACGACCTCGGCCCCGGCCTCCACAGAGTCTAGCTCTCCCACAACAGCCTCGAGCACCGCGCCCTCTCGCGCCACGACCTCTAGGAGCCCCGTCCATCTCACTGCATGGACCCAAACATGAGAAACTAGAACAATAAACAAAACAAACAACCATAAAAACTCACCGCAGAATCCCTTGTAGCTGAAGGGGATGATACTAAAGTCTAGCAATTCTAACAGTCTTAAAACCGTGTAGGCTCTGATACCAAAATGAAACAACCAACATTTTTTTGTTTTATATATAAATAAATCTTAACAAGTCTAGCGAAGGTTTTTAAAATAAATTAAATAAATAATAATCAAATAACAATAATTCAGCGGAAGCAAAAAATGATTAAATAATTAAATCTAACAAGTTAAACAAGTTCAAATGAAATGAAGCAAAACACATAAATCCTATCATCCCCTCTTCAGTCTTGATTCCGCGATCACACAAATCTTTTACCTGCATCACATTGCGAAAGAGATGCGTAAGTATTAAATACTTAGTGAGACAATCACCCTGCCTACAGACCAATTACGCAATTTACTAACAATTAAATACTAATTATAATTCTCCATAATTAGTAAGTATATTTTCTTAATTATTAACTAATTCTCCATAATTAAATAATAATTTTCCACACTTAAAATAATTTACATAATTATTTTAGACCAATTTAATTAATTAAAATAACCATTAATCTGAATTAAATCGTTAATCAAATTAAACCAATTAAATTCAACTAAACTCAATCAAACCGGATTGAAGTGTCGAGCGTCCCCAGCTTGGTGTCGGTCGTCTCTCGACCACTTGGTGTCGACCGACACCGACTTGACCACTTGGTGTCGACCGACACCGACTCGACAAAACCGATACGGAAACCAATGAAACAGCGCAGAAAACACTAAAAACACCCAATTTCATCACAATAACACCCAAATAGCACGAAAAAACAATCATATCACATGAACTCGTCAAGAACAACACCCAATCATCAAGGATCTAGCAATTCGCGAGCCTACAGTCATGCACACACCTTGACAATTGATTGAAACGAGGAAAAGGAGAAAAAGCAGTGAAGAACAGCCACAAATCACCACAGATTCGCTCAAGACACCTCCAAATCACCACAATTGTAACATCCCGGTTTGTGATAAATGAGGAGAGGCTTAAGAGAATTGATTTGGCTACCTATGTCAACAAAGTGCACTTACCTTTTTGGTCAAAGGTCCATAAGTAACTCCAGAGTTAAGCGTGCTTGGGCTGGAGTAGTGGAAAGATGGGTGACCTTTTGGGAAGTGATTTCCGAAACCGTATGAGTGAGGCCAAAACACGAGGGAAGGTCGGGTGTTGATTGAAAGGATAGTAAACAAGTCATTAGAGGCTCTCAAAAATAACGGACCAGCCGTCAGATAGGGGTGAGGCCCACGGGCCGAGAGGGGCCTGCGGGTCCAGAGAGAGGGCGTGGGTGACTCACCAGGAGGGGCGGTCGGGTCGTTATAACAATCGCCTCTCTTCTTCTTCTCTCAAGTTTCTGAGCCGCCAAAGAAAAAAAGAATGCTGCTCCTCGAGTTTTAACTCAAAAATAGTGTTTCCAGACCCTAAACCGGCCCAAACCGGACTTAAATCTTAAATCGAACCAGAACTGAATTTTAACCATTGGTGTCACCGGGCACCAAAGAAAAATCACAGTTCTTTGGCTAAGGATGTTACATTTTCGAAGATATAACCTATGATAATGTAATAAAATATAAGCATTGTACTGGTTTTTTTAAATCTAAATTTATATATTTTTAGGACTTATGTCTAATTTTGGAATAAAACTTTTGAATATATTATATATTTCTTAAGAACATCTGATTTTAAAAAATATTAAGTAATCAATATAAACAATGAAAAACATAACTCATATATTAAGTAAGACATTTTATATTAAGATAACTATTTTCTTCTCTATCCATCAATATCAGTACAATATATTGAGCAGAAGAATTGTTCGCCGTAGTCTATTTATGTACGATTTTTTTCCTTACACAATTGTTGTTTCTCCAAGAATGTTTAGAACTTAGAATGCCTAGTTGATTCATCGCACATGCGTAGTCCAAAATAAGATGTTAATCTAGTTATATAGTCGGATGAAGATTTATGTAATTTCACGAATATGTAAAAAATATTTACGAAGGAAAAAATTAAAGGAAATAAATTCCATTGTTTAGATCTGGTGTTAATTACAAATCAAAATTCAACAATAGATTAGTTAACAAAATCTTAACAAAGACAAATATAGTAGAATAATTGTAACTCAATTGCACTCGATAGAGCTCATAAAAAAAATTCTCTTATTGATTCACAATTATTTTCTAACATTTTTTAAAATTTCTGTGTAGCAACTCAAAAGAGAACAAGAAAATTTGTGTGTTTACAATAATTTTATCAATTTAGTTGTGATCTATGCGCTTATGTAACTGATATTTGTGAATAGAAGTTCAAGACTATTTACTTTTTTTTTATGCCCTTTGACTTCCAAACAAGTTGATTTGAACTTTGACTACTGTATTTGGTTTCTTACATGAGTCCAAATTTGTACATACATGTTTACACATTTAGGATGGTTGGACTTACATGATTCCATATATTATTATATTTCCAAAAGAAACCTAATTAGTTAATAGTTTCTTAGACAATTTTAATATTCTGTTATTTGTTTGTTAAATCTTGGAAAGCCAATTTTTTTAACTAATACATAGTGTAATTAACAACATATATACAAGTGTAAAAGTTATATTGTGTGTTGAATAGTGACTTATGATTGTAAAAGGTTTTACTAACTTGCAAAAAAGTTATCAATGGGAGTTGTTTTTTTTTAAGAAAACTCTTGATTATTACTAATTTTTTATTTGACTTCTTTGTACATTCTCATTAATACAATTTCCAATTACGTATAAATCTTATCATTAAGAAAAAGGCAAGTACAACCAAATAATTTTTTTTAGTCAAAATATATTAGTCCTGACGTGGCACATTTAATGCGGAGATACTATATATACATATA